GAAACATCAAATGAAGAAAAAGCTGAATATTAAAGTGTCAGAAAAAAGACTGAGAATAAAAATACTCCCGTTGTTGAAATATTTGAGATATTCTAACCGTATGGCTTCTGGGTTCCATGAAGCTACAATTCACCTATACCGAATACTTTGACTGCCCTTACTTTGAATTGCTCTCTAGATTATTGTGACTGCAGTTTGGAATCTGCACAGAAGCAATTCAATATATTTTGGTTGTATTTTGGTTGGCAATTCATTTCCAGTATGAATGCATCTGTGTGAACATCATAAGAAAGTGCTTAAAGGTTTCCTATGAAGCTTTCTGGTTACCGCTGGCAACCATCTTCTCTCTACGGAAATGTATTATTATTGCTTAGCCCGGAATGTTTCATTTTATCTAACTTGAGTGTGTCCAATTATAGGTGTTTTTATTGCTCAAAAATACTGTGAAAAACATGTATTCTTACCCGGCGTGACCTGTACCATGGCTGTGGAACATTCCAGGCAAAGAAATAACATTTTTATTGATACAAGCAGGTGGCGGACTCTTCATCAGAAAAAAATTACATTGTGCACCTTTAAGAATTATTAATAAGGATGTGTGCATGCTTTATTATGTCTTGCGTCTGCTCCTCTGCTAAGTATTTATTAAATCATTGATCTAATCTCTAATGTAGCATTCTGTTTTTACCATGTGCCAAAAGGACTTATGTTATGCAAAATTGACTCTTGTGAGCTTTTAAATGGTAAATGGTACGGTGCCATGTTATAATTGTTACCTCTTCAAAAACATACCTCAAGTTGTGTTTTGTTTCATTCACATCTTTAAATAATTCTTTGTTATTGATCTGTCTACCTCTACAAAGCTAAAAATGCTCAAAAATAGGTAGGTTTCATGTTATGTTCAGCACCAATGGGCAGTTACAGGGCTGAAATTATCCATATTATTCTAGTAAACAGTGGAGCACTTCCTGTATTGCCACATGACATCACAAGGTGGAACGGTGTTTTCTGTTTGAAAGAAGAACTCAGCCTACATAAGCAGGATTTTTGTGTCTGAATGAAATAAAACAACTCCACGTGCTGTATGTTTTTGATGAGGATGCAACATTACAACATAGATCAGAAAATAGCACAATATGGACCCTTTAAAACTTGGCAGGAGCTGCATGACTACTACCACTAGTTGGAGTCGTGAGCTTGCTTATCGCTTCACATTTATTGACGTCCTTTTAGGGTGAGTGGCAAAATTCCTTTGGGTGCTGTTAGCATATTGTCATTGATTGGATGGGACTTGTATTGCCTCCGGGGAGTGTCCTAGTAGTCTATAGTGAATTGTAATTCAGAGCTTGGCACCTCTGTCTTCACGCTGTGCTTCCATGTGACCCAGATACTATTGACAAATCATATGGAATGGTCACGCGTTCTTATATCAGCCTTAAAAGTGCAGCGCTTGTTCCATCATTTCAATTAGGCGATGGAATTCGATTTATCATCACAGGATTCAGTGAATGTGCCATGTACATTTAAATCCCTGTAGTAAATCTGGATCCACAGGTTGTTTTGACAGTGTCTGCCCTTCTAACCAATGCCATAACTTGGCAACACAGTGTTTACTTTTCATCCCTATAAAACAACAGTGCACCTATCTCTCATATGGCGCCCCTGAGCATTTTAATCCGCACTTTGTCTCCATCGTCTATCCAAATGAAACGTGGTGTGTCATGGGACATTGCTCCTATGCGACAATCAGCCCGAGGCCACTATCACACTTATTATTTCTCCCTGCTCTGGTCCTGCACGGGCGCATAAGGGGAGGTCGGTAGGTGGCAGTCGTGTCCTACTCGCATGGGAGGAATCTCTCTCTAAATCTCACACGGATGCACAGACGCGCGCTTTTGGCAACGATTTCCATTTGATTTTTTTCGCTATTAGAAAAAACTGACCGATGGATAAAAGGGAAAATCTATACGTTTCATATGATGCTGGGGCTTTGAATTGAAGTTGAAGACTGGGGAAAAAAAGGCGAGTGAAGACTGCCTCCAGTCCCACTGCAGTGAGTGACGGACCGGTCTGACTCGAGGAGAGGTGCTTGTCAGTGGGAGGTAACCTACATGATGGTCCCTTCGTGCACTTATCAATTCCGCGTCCGTCCTCTGCTGCTGCCGGAGCTTTGGAGTGTCTATAGAAGCGGGCTATAGCGCGCAGAGGCTGCTCTGTACCGCGCACCGGAGGATGCTGTCCGTGCGTTGGACACCAGAAGAGGGTCATTTGCGATCACATCTCTGTTGAAGCGGCTTTAACACACACTGCGGACGACGAGGGGAAGGTAAACGGAGCTCCTTCGCCGTGTTTGTGGATAGAAAAGGAGCTTTACGTTCGCCACGGTGCTGGATAACGCAGCATTTGGAGCGCACCAGCAACGAGATGTGAACTATAGGATCTAGACGGACTTCAGGGAGATCTATACGAGGAAACGTGTAACAATTGGGCCATGCTGTGAGGCTTTTTGGAGATACGCGTTGGATTTTCCGCGTAACCTTTTTTTCACATGGTTTGGATGAAAGAAAGAAATGATCCACAACTTTATTACGGTAATATCAGGATCAGATAGTGGGTGTTTTACGCATGGACTTTCACAGGTAAAGGAAAGCTATTTGCTGTGCGCACTGGGTTGTGACGTGAAATCTAATCACTGATGCCATGAAGAATTAAAGTTGCACATTACAAAGACCTGGTCGCTAACATAATGTGCATCCGCTAGTCTCCTAATAACTTTGACTGCGCTGGTCGTTTGCGTCTTTCTCGGCTGAAAAAGGACGCTGCATTGTGACACCACCAAATTCTTTCACTTGATTCCCCTTTTGGCTCGAAGCTTCGCTGGTTTTGGGGAGTTTTTTCCCCCTTTCACTGTGTGGCACTTGTGGGTTCCTCCCGTGAAAAGCGGAATGCGTTGTGATCTCTAAGAGTTATTAGCCAGCCATCTAAACTGTTTCTGTGGATTACATACGGCGAGGAAAACACGATGCATTTGACGAAAATCTATCGGTACGGATTCAGCAAAATTGCCTGAAAATTGCGGATGTCTTTTTTTCTTTCTTTCTTTTTTTTCAATGCCGTTTTGGGGGGGGAGGAGAAGGAGAGGCATCGTCCACCGTCTTAAAAACCCGGATCCTGCTCACGTCCCCGTCTCCATGAACAAGTAAGTTAGTGTTTAAATGTAATAAGGGAGCCACTCTGAAGCTTTTCTGTGAAATTATTGTGAACTGGCAGTTTTTCATTCGGTTTTATTAACGTGGTCTAAATGAAGTGTACGTGTTGCTTTTGGGTTTGTCCCTATCTCTTTGGTCTTACCGAAATATGTCAAATTACGCATGGATTTAAAGAGAAGGAACAGACGCGCGTACTCGTGTGGTTCTGCTTGCCTTTGCCGCGCGCCCTTGAGAGCGCGGGCAGCAGGCTTACTACCTCAGATAGAAAGAGTATTGCTTTTTATCCTCTGCAAATATAGGAGTAAGGCTTTCATGTGTGAGACTTTCTATAGCTATAATGTTAAACTGCACACACCTTATTTTCTCATCCACAATCTTTGAATCAGCCTTATGCAGCACGTGTACATGTGTGCTACAATAATGCTTCAGTATATTTTGTGGAAAGTATGAAATATTTAGACCTTCAATTTAGAATTCAAGGATGCAACTGCCATCCCATGCGCCCACAGTGCCAGACTGCTCTGTGTGTGTGTGTGTTTAGAAAGTCCTTAGTTCTCACACAAACCGCTAGTACCCTGGCTCTGTAGCCTTGAAGGGAGCTGTCCTTCTGATGTGGTGCTGAAATGGAAATGTGCTCCTTTTGCACTACTTTGCTCTGTCCTCAACAGTGAAAAGACCTTCCTCTAAAATGCAGTCTGTGTCAGTGTCAAAGCAACTATTGGATCAGTGATAGCCAACAGGTAGATACATACAGTTCATTTTTGATATGAGAATGTATCCTTCAACGGCAAACCATTGTAATTTGTCTCATTTTATAAAGGGGTTTTAATAGTAGTTAGTATTTATTGTAGAGGGGATGCAAATGGTCATTGAGCCACTGACTTTGAGTAGAGACTTTGATTCTTGTACGATTAAACCTGGTTTTGTTCTTGCACAAAGAGTAACTTGTATATCTGTGGTTAGATGTATTATTGCTTTGCTCTGGGTCTTTTTCTTGAATACTTTCATTAAAATATGACTAAATGCAGTTTGTTTCCTACCACATATTAAGAAAAACATTAACATTTGGTGGCAGTACATGCATACTGACAACATCGTCTTTAGTATATCCATGTAATATATACCCAATGAGAAAAAAACACTAAATTTTAACATTAAAATCATCGTTCTGCGTCCAGGGAATGCATTTTAGAAGCAGCTTTGAATTCTTTACAGATATGTGTCAGGTTAAGCTCCTCTGCAGAATCCATCACTTTTACTTGGTCGCAAAGGTTAATGCAAACTTGTCATCATTGCTTTTGGTGTCAGTGCCAGAGAAACTTCTTAAAAACACGCATCTGTCATGCTGCTGCTGTTCCTCCATTGGCGGTGCAGACATAAATAGAACCTGCTGCCACTCTAACGCTAAAAATCAAAATAAATCACCTCCCTTCTTAGTTATAGTGAAAACCCTGGCATCCCTCATCCCCGAGAGAAAAGCTGTGGCTATGATGGAGTCACGTCACCTTGGGGAGACAAATTTGACTGCTGGTTTTATGTTTAGGCCTGGCGTGATAGATCCTCCCTACATATTCCCATGATTGTGGTTGTTTGTTGGCAAGCAGAGTGGGGTGATTCATTGTAATAAGCCCAGGGACTGCTCCACCTCCCTGTTCAACACAAAGCCCTCTATAAGGACAGGTGTATTTTGAAAAGGGTCAAATCAAGTAAAGACTCCGAAAAATCAATTTGTGCATCAATGCCTGTTTATTCCAATGTGCTACGGTGCAAAAAGAAAAGTCTAGTTGAAGTTAAAATGACCTGAATCAAAACTGCATTGTGAAACTTTTCTTTTGGAGGGCCCTTCAAATGCTTTATTATTACTTTGTCTGAAATGTTTCACAGTATGGGATTAAACATTTTTATCTTCATGAAGACCCAACCAGACCAAGTTACCATACCAAGTCACGGCAACCCCGTTCACAGTCAGAATGTGTGTTTTTCTAAGTATTTCTCCAGTAATAGCTGGGTTTCACGTGACGTCACAGGGCTACGGTTGTCAGTGCGCAAAATCAGATGGAGGGCAGGAAGTGAACTGACTGGAGGAAGCTTGTGAAACACTGTTGCGTCTTTGTCTGGAAAATGTCTATGTGTTGTGTAGTTTACGGCTGTGCCAATCTTTCTAACCGAGAGAAGGAAAAGCGTTTTTTTTAGAGTACCGAAGAGAGTCATCCACAAAGGTCAGAAATGGGAAAAGTTGACAGAACAACCATAAAAAGTGGATTACAAACCTACATTTGCGGTCAGGAGGAGCAGAATCCGCAAATGCTCGTGTCTGCAGTGACCACTTCGTCAAAGGTATGTTACAAAGCTAAATTGTTTTTTGTGGTTTACCTAAACATTAACGAAACATTAACGACTAACGGCTAACGACATTTGTTGACATTAAATAGTTCAGATAGAGGTTACTGCTGATGCACTGCAGTTTTTTCCATAACAGTCTATACACATAAAATAAGAGAAACACTCACCCTGGCGAAGACCAAACGATCATCATCATGAAGGTGTTTCGCACCAAGGTTGTGGACCCATCCACTGACAAAAAAAGTTATATGCCTCCAAACTTTTGTACACCTTCATCTGTTGTCTGGTGTAGAACGATGTCTGTAGAACTAGGTAGTTCGTGATATCCACTGCCTTGATTGTTGGCAAATCTTTTACTTCACTCATTTTCATAAGATGGGGTCACGTCCAATATATTTGTCAATTAACTGCTCGCACCTTTGCCTTGCTACTGGCTCTAAATCCTTACAATAAGAACTCTTCTCCATATCTGTATTCTCCAAAGCTGTGTTTGTCGTGTTAGTCTTCACTTCCTGCCCTCCACCTGAAATTCGTGCATCATCATGATCACGTTACCGAAACCCTCTTATTGAATAAATATAAGATACATTTGTTTAATGTTATATTGTGGAACATTTGTAACGCTCGAGCAATGAAATATTCATAGAAACCAGCAGGTGATGGACCCCCAACCAAAAAGTTAAACAGTGCACCTCTAAATCTTATTATACGGCCAAAAAAATAACCAAAAACTTCCAAGTAGTGCAAAGAAAATGTACACATGATCAATACTGACCCTCCAAAAATATTCTCCCATCTTTCATATACTGAGCAATAAGTCAATATAGTAATTATCGTGACAGGTTTTCTAACAAAGACTTTCTTCCTAGTTTCCCGAAGCAGTGGATTTGAGCAGGTGCAATGGGACCTTTGCGCTTCTCTGTGCTCATACAAAGAACCAACTCGCAACTCAACTACCAGGCATCCATCTTACATCCAGTTTTGTCAGCTATTGTTGTCGAACCTATCTGCTGAAAATCAACCACAGCCACCATGACAGAAAATTAATGAAGTTGTCAGATGGAAAAGGGCAGGACTGCGATGGGGTGCCAGGGTCTTGTAAGGCGACAGCCAGTATATCTCTACCCCTCCTCTCTCCCCGAGCTTTTGTCATTCCCACCAGGCTCAGTTCAGATCAGGGACAGCACTGCAAACAGCGCATCTAGGCAAGTTAAAAAGCTGAAATTAAGATCAGTTTACTGTATTTGAGTAGATTCAACTTGACAAGTAAACTTATCTAACAATGGAAGAAGTGTATTTTTCTTAATTAAAGCAAATTTAGATGTAGTTTCTTATTTTAAAAGGTGCATTGCGTAGACTTTTCTCCATTATTACTTTGTCTGGGATGGTTCACAGTTCAGCATTAAACCTAAAAATCTTCACAGGAGACCAAACCAGACCAAGTTACAGGTCAGATCCGTGGAAAGGCAATCCCGTTCTTAGTCAGAATGCTTGTTTTTCTAGATATTTTTGAGCTATAAAACCACCTGTAATTGAATAAATGTAAGGTAGAGCTGTTTAATGTTATACTGTGGAACATTCCAGGCAGAGTAATAACATATCCATGGAAACAAGCAAGTGACAGACCCCCAACCAAAAAGTTACATAGTGCACCTTTAAGTGCAAAGAGTGTAGAAAGCAAGATGAATTTTCATATTCTAAGTACACTAGGGAAAAAAAACAAACAAAAAAAAAAACAATATCTAGGTAAGTTTAAATGACTTAGATTAAGAACATTTTACTTCTATCTATCTATTCTATCTTCAAGCAACATTCAATTTTGTTTCTTATCTTAAGTGCAAAAAGTTTCTTTTTTTTTGTATTTATTTATTTGTATTTATTATTATTATTATTTGTTTTTATTTTAAGTGTAGAAAAATGTATTTTCATATGTATTTTCATATTTCATAAGTACAATGGGGAAAAAAAGAAAAAAGAAAAGAAACTATATCTAGGTAAGTTAAAAATACTTAAATTGAATAAGTGTGGTTTTCTTAATTCAAGCAACATTCAATTTTGTTTATTTTAAGTGCAAAAAAGTTGTTATTTCTTCTTATTTTAAGTGTAGCAAGATGTATTTTCATATTTTAAGCACAAAAAGTCTTGCTCCATTGGCAGATCATTTTACTTGCCAAGTGAAACTGACTCAAATCGTGATAAAACTTTATTAATTCAAGTAATTTTAACTTGCTTAGATTTTGTTTTTTGCAGTGTACAAAAAGTCTCATTCCACTGGTAGATCATTTTACTTGCCAAGTGAAATTTACTCAAATCATGATTAAAGAGAAATCGTAATTCAAGTAATCTTACCTTGGCTCGATTTCAGTTTATGCAGTGCAGTACTTTGTGGCGTATAATACAATTAGCATCCACTTCTTCCACTAGCACAGACCTGTATCAATAATGGAGCCAGCCTGTACGTTTTCATCTTCTCTGGGGTATTAGCTGTCCAAAGGGGTTTCATTCAATGGAACAGAGAAGTGTTATAGTGATCCTTTATCTGGTCCGGGGGCCTTTGTGTTGGGAACTAGCTGTGCAACGCTGGAGGTCGAAAGCATGAGTCAGTGAGCTAAGAAAAAAACAAACAAACAGGTACAGAAGTTATTTGGGAGTTTCTTGGATATGAAACACAGGCATAGCAAACTTAATAGAAAGGCTGCAGGGTGGGCCACTGAGAAACTGCAGAATTAAGTTGAGGTAAGAATCAGGTCTACAATATTTCCCCAGTCTATTTGTGTGTTTGGATGTAAGGCTGGGCAATGTGACAAAAGCAAAACAAGAAAATAATCTCACAGACGTTCCTGAACAGTTCCTGAGACAATTAAAATGATGCCATTTGACATAAAGTAAACTGAAATGACTGAATCTCGATCTTCAGTCATTTTTGATTAAAGGTGCTGGGTCTGGTCAAGAGGTAACGGAGGGAAACAGGGGCCGATGTTTTACATTCAAATAGCTCTTATTCAGAAACTAGAGGGACTATTGAAATAAGTAAGGTATTAAAATGTAGGAAAGAGTTAACACTCCAACAGGGTAAAGTTAAACCTGCAATATTCTTTCAGGTTATTGACAAAAATTAAAAAACCCATGTCAGGTAACGGAGGGAATGAAATATGCAGCACTTTTTGGGCAATAAATACAAACAGTGATGAGATTTTTTATGAAGAAAGGTCATGGTAACGGAGGGAAAAGTAACGGAGGGAAACTTGTGCAAGCAAGTAGAAGGTGCATGATTTTGCATAATTTGCCAGCTTTTTTCTTCCAAATACTTTAATATTACTTCAAAATGAAAGGAAACTATTTCTATAAAATATGTCAGTCCTTCCAAGCAAATTTTTATAATTTTAAATAATTATTTTTTTTTATCATGTACCTTCATCAACAGGTCAAAGATCGAATAACATAAGATATGATGAAATACATCCATTTATTTACATGATTTGCAGGTCTTTGAAATTTGGGAAATAATTTTTGTTCCATGTTTCATACATGGTCTGTTTAAAACGTATGTAACTTTAGAACCAAAAATTGTATAGAAAAAAGGTAAACAGTTTCATAAACTAGAGTACATATGCTATCTGTTGAATACATTTTTATATCAGATGCATTAACTTGAATTTTTGGCCTTGCTGTTTACTTCTGCTTGATCGGGCCCTGCTGTACTGTTACACCCAACGTGACCCCTTGTCCTAATTGAGATTCACAGCCAGCTAAACTCTCTCTTCCTCCAAGGAACAGGCAGGTGTTGTCTTTGACCAGGATTTAATGCAAAAAAGTGTGAAACTGTAACAAAATACAAAAAAAGTATTCAGAAGGCTGTAAAATAAATTCTGTACATCAAAGCTACTATCCAGACAACCAAATAGTTAATGCTGGCTGAAAAGTAATCTCAAAATATGTCTATAAATTGCCACAAACTATAACAAAGTGCTATGGTTACCATTCATTTTTAACATAAACTTACTCATATTGCCGCTCAAAGGGCTGGAAATGAGGAGATGGCTTCAGATAGAACAACAAAACCAAAACACATGTGGACTGATCGGCATTATCAAGCTACTTGTTTTCCTTCTGGTCACCTACTGGCTAAATATATTATCAAAATCACAACTAGCGCCCCCTAGCAGGCTGGAAGAACACAACAACAAAACAGTTCCAATACAGGTGCGCTGTGTAACTTTCTGAGTGGAGGGTCAGCCACCGTGACGATGTTGTTTCTTTGCCTTGAATTTTTCACAGTATGATATTAAACTTATCAATTTCCATGGAGACAAACACTATGCCAATTCACAGGTCGGATTTGTGGAGAGGTGGGCCCACTTACAGTAGAATGCATATTTTTCAAAGTATTGTTTCATTGTAAAACATCTATAATTAAAAAATGAGCAAGTTCAGTGCCAAAAAACTAAATCTAGCCAAGTTAAGATGACTTGAATTAAGACATTTGACCATGATTTGAGTAAATTCCACTTGTCAAGTAAAATTATCTACCAGTGGATTAAGACTTTTTGTACTTAAAATATGAAAATGCATCTTGCTACACTTAAAAAAAAAAAAAAAAAAAAAAAAACTTTTTGGCATCTAAAATAAGAAACAAAGTTAAATGTTGCTTGAATTAAGAAAAACACACTTCATTCCATTGGTAGATAGTTTTACTTTTCAAACTGAATCGACTCAAACAAAGTAAAATGTTCTTAATAAAGTCGTTTAAATTTAGATAGGTATTGTTTTGTTTTTTGTTTTTTTGTTTGTTTGTTTTTTTCCAGTGTTTAATGCCATAATGTGGTACATTCCAGTTAAAGCAATCTCCAAGCATTTTTCCATCCAAACAATCGGGTGCTGGACTTGTACCAGAGAAGTTACACAGTTCACCTTTAATTGCACAGCCCTGTTTGAAAGTCATTTTGTTTAAAAGCAACGATAGTGAAGCAATTTTATGGCATATACTGCACAGAACATGTATGCACTAAATCACTTTCATATGCATAACAGAGTGGGTGGATGTCTCCGTTATGTATTTATAATGAATGTAATATCTAGAATTTAGTTCAAAACGTTGCAATCAGTTTGCAGTATGACACTGTATAATATCAGCTGTACACTGCTGCCTGCCTCGTTTAAAGGTCCTATATCACACTATTTTCTGATCTATGCTATAATGTTTTCTCTTCATAACCATACATGAAATTGTATGTTATTATGTTATTATGTTATTTTTTTTATTTTTATTTTTTTCAGACCAAGAGTTTGTTTTCATACCTGACAGTTTTGACTATTCACTAGCAGTCTTCCTCAGGGTGATCACGTGATATTGCTGTGACGTGTCCAGGCAGCTGATTTAAACAGGTTTTAGTGCCATCTTCCTAATGGTTGAGACAGAACGGCAGCGCTATCTGCAGTCTGACTTCCTCAGGACAGTATCCCAGGTGTGTGAGAGTAAAAAGGCCCCTCGTCCCGGTTTAAAGTACTGGTTTATAGTTTAAATCAGCAGACACGTCACAGCAACATCATGTGATCACTTTGAGGAAGATCGCTAGTAAACAGTCGAAACCGTCAGGTATAAAAGCAAACTCTTGGTCTGAAAAAGAACCTAATAGCATAAATGATCAGAAGACCAAGTGGATCTCAATGGACTATACCTGGAGTTGTGTTTTGTTTCTTTCACATATACACCCACAAACCCTGCATATTTCTAGCTAGACTGGCACCACCTTGTGCCTGTGCTCAATTTAATTTCTCTCCAGGGACTAGGTCAGGAATCAGAATACACTAGAAGGTTCGCAAAAACCCCGGAAGTGTGAGTCCGGGCACCAGTCAATCAGTGAAGAGACATTCATTCTGTGTTGGCAACAATTCCCGAGATCCCGAGGAAAGACGTTATTGCCCTTCTTCCTAAGGAATTTGGGAAGAGCTTAATATACCAGTTAGCCCCGTTAGTGAGCATTACATATGTCACGACCAAATAGCAGCAATTAAATGAAAAAAGTACCCACCTTCCGTCAAGTGAAAGAATTGTAACCCTGCGAGGTCAGACAGTTTCTACGAAGTGAAACCATCTGATGAATCAGGCTAGCATATCACAGAAGTGTTCCATTATCTTTTAAACTACATACACCTACACTAAAATTACTTGGATCATTTCAATCCTAGAATTGCCCAACTCTAATGAACAAAAGGTAAAATGTAGCTGTTAACTTGCTTCATGACATCACAAGGGGTTACAGCTTGAGATGTGGATCTGTCGACATTTTGAGCTTTGGAGATAGATCAGTAACAAAGGATTACTTAAATTACTTAAATGAAACAAAACGCAACTTCAGGCATGTTTTTTGAGAACATAACAGCATTTTAACATGGCTTAAAGCTCACAAGAGTCAATTTTGTGTAATATAGGACTTCTAAGCTACACTTGATAGTTAGTAAGTAGTAAGTAGAACTATTGCGCAATCACAAATCTCCAAACTCACTACATAACAGGTTGTAAAGAGCAAAAGTCTAATTGCCTGATTTGCTCTGTAGCTCATGCAATCAAAGACAGACTGGAGCTCGGTAAATGCCATACAGGCCAATAATAGTAAAAGGTATCTGAAGCCATTATAAGGGGCGTAATAGATAAAAGGTCAATAGTTTGTTCATATAAATGCTTACACTTCTCACCCAATAGAAAAGGTGCACGGGGGTCAGAGAAAGGGAATGCAGTGTGGGATTTTCTGTGTATAGAGACCTTTTCACAGTGTCTTGTCACAATTTCTTAATGTCACTGATGTCAAATAAAACTCAGGGGGGGTGCACTTATGCCACTCTGTAACATGGGGTTAGAAATGTGCTGATGAATTATACATGTATGCAGAGGTAGGGCTAAAAAGTCACCTTGGATAACTAAGCAAAACAGATATTAGAAATGATATTTGTATTTTTTAATTTATTTATTTATTTTTAATCAAATTTGTAACCTAACAGATCGTTTGAAGGTTAAAACGTTTTACTGTAGTTGAAAAACAGAAATAATAATGTGGTTATATCTGTTTACAATATTAAGATGTTTGTTTGTAGCAAGGATGGGGGAAAAAATGGAGATAAAAAACAGAAACAAATGCCTACTGTAATGTCAACCATGATTTTGTTTTATTTTTATTTTTGTGAAAATTTGACACAATGAAGTATTAACAAAAAAGAAAGATATAACTTATATGTAACTTGAGTATGAGTAGTGATAGAGTGCTTTTCAGAGAGATGAGCTCACAAGGCGCTTTCACAGATTAAAAAGATAAATAAATCTACTAATAAAAAGATAAAATGCAGAAACATAAACCATACAAATTAAAATTAAAATTACTACAATACAATCAATGCAGTCAGATGCTGAGATTGGAGTATTTTTTTTTATTTTTATTATTATTTTTATTATTTTATTTTTTTTTTTCTTCTTGGTGTACCTTGTGGTAAATATTTGGTCACATCATAGGAAAAAAAAGTTTTTTGCTAAGTCTTTTTGCTAAGTTTTTTGATTAGTCCCTTTTTGTCGACTAATCACTGAAGTGTGCATGTCTTTAGTTGACCATGGATTTCTTTAGTCCACAACAGCTCTGTTTATAATTGATCAGTTCTTAGTTCCTTTCCTGGTCAAGGCTCCAGAATAATAAGTTCAAACTAGATTTCAAAGCTGAGGAGAAACCTTGATACTTTAAGCTGTTTTTGTATCACAATATTAATAGAAAATATAATTGTTCATACAGTACAATGTAATTTTTAAAGGTGCATTATGTTTAGTTTTTTTTGGTTGGGGGTCCATCACCTGCTTGATTCTATGGATATGTCATTGCTTTGCCTGGAATGTTCCACAGTGTGACATTAAACAGCTTCTAATTAATTACAGTGGTTTTATTGCTCAAAAATATAGAGAAAAACGGGCATTCTGACTGTGAGCAGGGTCGTCTCTTCACAGATCTGACCTGTAACTTGGTCTGGTTTGATCTCCATGAAAATAGAAAGGTTTAATGCCATACTGTGAAACATTATAGGCAAAGCAATAACACCTTCATGGAGTAAAGCTTTCTCCAGGGCCTTCCAGCAGAAAAGTTACTCAGTGCACCTTTAAATTAATTATCAATAGGATTGTAACGATATCCAAGTCTCACAATACGATAGTTGTCACGGTGTGAACGTCACAGTACAATATTTATTGCAATATTGTGGGAAAGCTCATGATATGGAGGAGAGGCTCATGATTAGGGATGTAACAACAACCAAATCTTTCAGTACGATATTTATTGCGATATTTTGAGGAGGCTAACAAAACTGTTAATTTGTTACTTTTTCCTCTTAAAATGGCTTGACAAGACTTAATCCAAAGAACTATGAATTAAAAATGCTTAGAACTGTTATTTCTTCATGTAGTCTACACTGAAATGAAGCAAAGGATCATGGCCTATGTAGTTCCTTCTTTCCTTTTTTGCTATTGTTGCACCATAACTCTTAATTTAAGCAAAGGGACTTGTAATTCGATATATTGTGATGGTCCACGATATTATTGTGAGAACTTTGACGATACGATATCACGATATTTCAGTTATTGTTACATCTTTAATTATCAATAATAGTTTTATATCAAGTAATATGTGGATATGTGAAGAATCCCTGTGAAGAATATGTGGATATCGATGTCTTTGATAACTCTAGTCTGGATTTAGTCCCGCTTCACTGGTGGATTAGTCTATATTTGCTTGTTTTACACACATAGATCACTGGAAAAACAAGATTTCTTGAAGTGTCAGGAAGTGTATTAATGCACAGAGCAAAACTGGGTTGTACAATATATGGTGGAAGCTTATGTTGGACTGAAATGTCTTACACAACCTATCAATGACTAATGACCACATAAAAATTTTATCACAAAGTCAATGTAGTTGCCTCTTGACAGTAACGCGCTGTTTCCCCTCTCTACATCAGTTTGAATGATCATCCAAAATCTCAGTCTGGCATAATCTATTCTCTCCTATCGACGAGACATGAGCAGGGAGCATCTTAAGAACAACACACGCAGACGGACATGAGCACTCTGTGAGCT